GCTAATTACGTAATTTTAGTTAATTAACCATAGAACCCGGTTTGGCTCCACACGGCGTCTCTGACCCGTCTCATGTCACGTCCCTTTAGAGTTCTCCCCACGCCCAAAAACACCGACGAACCACCGTCACCGTTACGGCGACGCGCCACGTATTCATGAGGCGGCACCATCTCACTCTCCCAATCACCATCCGCCACGTCAACATGCATTGATTCGACGGACTCTACCTTTAGGATCTTGCTCCAGTCAGGCACTTTCACCGGCGCAGAAGTCGCCACGTGTTTCTTCCTCCATCCATTGTCCGTAACGGTCAGGCCACTTACATAGCCGCGGCCGTTACTTCTCCGTTCGCCGCTACTCGCGTCGCGGGAGCGTGCGGTCCACGCGCTCTCTTCTGTTGGGTCGTCGTTAGGTTCGACCACCGACCAAACATCCTCTTCCATGAGCTCTAGCTCGACGGTGGTTTCTCCTCTGTTCACGTGGCGGTCATCGGAGTGATGATGACTACCGAGAAACAGCTCGCTCCGACTCATTGTCAATCTCCGACCTTTCCCCATGTTTCTCTGAATTAGTAACTAAGAACAAAATGTCTATACGCTTTTGATATATTCAATTCAAAATAAAAAATTGAGCCTTATAGTAGTAATCTTTTGTAGAACTCTTGTATTGCTTTGTGTTATGAATGAAGATCGAGGATGAGGATATGTGTATAAATATATATAATATTAAATGTGATCATAATATGAAGTTCGTGTGTAGCTTTACTCAGTTTTGTTCGGTAAGATCAAAAGAAAGATGTCATAGTCCCACGTCAAATTAAACTTTTTAAATATGATCTACGTACTATTCTTTTGGTATTTTCTTTCAATAATTTTGATAAGACCGACCTGCAATCAAAAGTCAAGATCTAAATTTACTATCCTTTTTTTTTTTTTTTGCTAAATTTACTATCCTTGACTCCTTGTGTGCCGATGTACGTGCTTTCATACGTTCTAATCTTTATATACGTTAATTAGTTATATAATTAATCCAAATTAGATTTTCTGAGAAATATGGCAATGGATTTTGATTAATTGTTACTTTGTTCGCCTTGGGGATATTGTTTGTATGGCTAAATACACTAAAGCAAGCATTCATTTTTTTTCTTAGTTTAGGGTTTTCTATCCGTAATCTTTTTCGATCTGGATCAGCTTTGATAATGAACATTCAAACATAA